AGTGGGAGGAATAGCGCCCCATCATTGGTGTCAGTGGGAGGAATAGTGCCCCATCATTTGTGTCAGTGGGAGGAATAGCCCCCCCCGTTGGTGTCAGTGGGAGTAATCGTGCCCCATCATTGGTGTCAGTGGGAGGAATAGTGTCCCATCATTGGTGTCAGTGGGAGGAATAATGTCCCATCATTGGTATCAGTGGGAGGAATAGCGCCCCATCATTGGTGTCAGTGGGAGGAATAGTGCCCTATCCCCCCCATTGGTGTCAGTGGGAGGAATAGTGTCCCATCATTGGTAGTGGGATAGTGCCCCATCATTGGTGTCAGTGGGAGGAATAGTGTCCCATCATTGGTGTCAGTGGGAGGAATAGTGTCCCATCATTGGTGTCAGTGGGAGGAATAGTGCCCCCATCATTGGTGTCAGTGGGAGGAATAGCCCCCCCCGTTGGTGTCAGTGGGAGTAATCGTGCCCATCATTGTGTGTCAGTGGGAGGAATAGTGTCCCATCATTGGTGTCAGTGGGAGGAATAGTGCCCCATTGGTATTGGTGTCAGTGGGAGGAATTGGTGTCAGTGTGCCCCATCATTGGTGTCAGTGGGAGGAATAGTGTCCCATCATTGGTATCAGTGGGAGGAATAGTGTCCCATCATTGGTGTCAGTGGGAGGAATAGCCCCCCCCATTGGTGTCAGTGGGAGTAATAGTGCCCCATCATTGGTGTCAGTGGGAGGAATAGCGCCCCATCATTGGTGTCAGTGGGAGGAATAGCGCCCCATCATTGGTGTCAGTGGGAGGAATTGTGCCCCATCATTGGTGTCAGTGGGAGGAATAGCGCCCCATCATTGGTGTCAGTGGGAGTAATCGTGCCCCATCATTGGTGTCAGTGGGAGGAATAGTGCCCCATCATTGGTGCCAGTAAGAGGAATAGTGCCCCATCATTGGTATCAAGGGGAGGAATAGTGCCCTATCATTGGTGTCAGGGGGAGGAATAGTTCCCCATCATTGGTGTCAGGGGAGGAATAGTGCCCCATCATTGGTGTCAGGGGGAGGAATAGTGCCCCATCATTGGTGTCAGTGGGAAGAATAGTGCCCCATCATTGGTGTCAGGGGGAGGAATAGTGTCCCATCATTGGTATCAAGGGGAGGAATCGTGCCCCATCATTGGTGTCAGGGGGAGGAATCGTGCCCCATCATTGGTGTCAGGGGGAGGAATAGTGCCCCATCATTGGTGTCAGGGGGAGGAATAGTGCCCCATCATTGGTGTCAGGGGGAGGAATAGTGCCCCATCATTGGTGTCAGGGGGAGGAATAGTGCCCCATCATTGGTGTCAGGGGGAGGAATAGTGCCCCATCATTGGTGTCAGTGGGAGGAATAGTGCCCCATCATTGGTGTCAGGGGGAGAGTAGTGCCCCATCATTGGTGTCAGGGGGAGGAGTAGTGCCCCATCATTGGTGTCAGGGGGAGGATTAGTGCCCCATCATTGGTGTCAGGGGAGGAATAGTGCCACATCATTGGTGTCAGTGGGGGGAATAATGCCCCATCATTGGTGTCAGTGGGAGGAATAGTGCCCCATCATTGGTGTCAGTGGGAGGAATAGTGCCCCATCATTGGTGTAAGTGGGGGGAATAGTGCCCCGTGTTAAGAATGGCTGGGTCTCAATAAGCATTAATTCTGGCAAGCAGTGGTTTCAACTGATTGGCTCTGCCAAGTGATGTTGGCCCCCAGCACCAGGTACCATCAGATGGGAGGTCTATCAGCTATAGGCCAAAGAATCCTTGGAGACCTCCTAAAGGATCCCTACTGTTCCATAGAACCCTGGTCAACAATGGCGCGGTCACAGTAATTTATAATTATTTTGGGCAGATAGATGCCTTGCTGTCATCACTGAAGTTGGGCAGACACCATCACACGTGGTGGGATCCATGGAAGTGTGGTTGGGACTGGTTGAGGTAGAGATTACATGTACTTTCACGTGAACTTTTCGGTAACTTTTCGAGTCTGCAGAAATGGATTTTTTACGATGAAGAGCAACAGTAGATTGATGATGATGATGATATTATCATCATCATCATCGATATCATCATCATCGATATTATCATCATCATCATCGATATCATCATCGATATTATCATCATCATCATCAATATTATCATCATCATCGATATTATCATCATCATCATCGATATCATCGTCATCGATATTATCATCATCGTCATCGATATTATCATTATCATCATCGATATTATCATCATCGATATCATCATCATCATCGAATCATCATCATCGATATTATCATCATCATCATCATCGATATTATCATCATCATCATCGATATTATCATCATCAATATTATCATCATCGATATTATCATCATCATCATCGATATTATCATCATCATCATCGATATTATCATCATCATCGATATTATCATCATCATCATCGATATTATTATCATCATCATCGATATTATCATCATCATCGATATCATCGTCATCGATATTATCATCATCGTCATCGATATTATCATCATCATCATTGATATTATCATCATCGATATTATCATCATCGATATTATCATCATCATCATCATCGATATTATCATCATCAATATTATCATCATCAATATTATCATCGATATCATCATCATCATCATCGATATCATCATCATCATCGATATTATCATCATCATCATCGATATTATCATCATCATCATCGATATTATCATCATCATCATCGATATTATCATCATCATCATCGATATCATCATCATCATCATCGATATTATCATCATCATCGATATTATCATCATCATCATCATCGATATTATCATCATCATCGATATTATCATCATCATCATTGATATTATCATTATCATCATCATCATCGATATCATCATCATCGATATCATCATCATCGATATCATCATCATCGATATCATCATCATCGATATCATCATCATCATCGATATTATCATCATCATCGATATTATCATCATCATCGATATTATCATCATCATCGATATTATCATCATCATTATCATCGATATTATCATCATCATCATTGATATTATCATTATCATCATCATCATCGATATCATCATCATTATTATCATCATCATCGATATTATCATCATCGATATTATCATCATCATCGATATTATCATCATCATCGATATCATCATCATCATCATCGATATCATCATCATCATCATCGATATTATCATCATCATCATCGATATTATCATCATCATCATCATTATTATCATCATCATCATCGATATTATCATCATCATCATTATTATCATCATCATCGATATCATCATCATCATCATCATCGATATCATCATCATCGATATTATCATCATCATCATCATCGATATCATCATCATCGATATTATCATCATTGATGATGATGATGATATCGATGGTGATGTCTCCCATTGTAGGCTTGAAGCACCAGAAGTCTTTTGGCGTTCCCCCATCATAGAGCAGTGCACACTTTGCAGGCGTGGGATCGCACTCCCTCAGATCCCGACACCGATGGAGCTCAAAGATAGATGATATCATCATCATCATGGATATCATCATCATCATCATCTCTGGTGCTCCAAGCCTACCATGGGAGACGGAGGGGGAGGTTGGAGGAGCAATTCAGTCGGCCAGAAATAGGAAGGGTGGGGTTAAATGTCCAGACAGGAATGTTGCCCCTTGCATGTGGATGGAAGGTTCAGAGCTCGTTCAGGATCACCGTGAGATGACGGCGTGTGAGCAGCCATTGTTTTCGGACTTTGAGACGGGTTCTCTTTACAGGGAATTGGAATGTACAATGAATGCCTCGTGCTAAAGTGGTTGGAAAGGATTGAGGGTTTTTTTTTTTAAACCTTCTTGTGCCGGTCAGCTGTGCTGGGTCTCTCCCTCATTGTCTGAGCCATTGGCTCCTGCTACTGTCAATTACAGCTAGTGAGCCAGTAAGGAGAGAGCTGGGCCGCGTGTGAATGGTCACATAGAGCAGCAGCTCGGGTGTCCCCATAGCAAACTGCTTGCTGTGGGGCCACTCAGCAGGAGGGAGGGGCCAGGAGCGCCGGTGGGGGACCCGAGAAGAGGAGGATCAGGGCTGCTCTGTGCAAAACCATCACCCAGCAGGTAAGAATACTTTTTTTTTTTTTTTTTTTTTTTATATAGTTTTTCTTCTTTATTTGCCTTTTTAATATAAGTTTTCAGTAATGTGTAACATTCCCAGGTATGCATTATTCCTCTCAGAGGTCACAGTACTCCCTTCACAAGGCTTTCATCAGCTTTTTTTGGGCCCGGGGTCAGTAGGGGCCCCATGAGATGCCCCTGGTACCTTTTTCATAGGCTTTTTTGAGTTTGGGCAAGGACACAGGGGCCCCATGATCCCCTATTGCCAGGGGGCCCCATGAGTTGTCAGTCCGCCCCTGGGCATCATCCAGGGTCAAATTCTACTTTCTGGACTTGGATGCCGGCTCATAGATGGCACAGTCATGAGAAATTCTGGTGCCTGTGTAGTTCTTGGCTGTGTTCGCAAATGTCTGACACAGATCAGCCCCTGGTGCCGCCTCTCACCTAGTGATGAAGTTACATTGCTGTAGTATGGTCATGGGGGTAGGGACTGAGGAAATGCTTCCTCCTGCCTGCAGCAGATCGATGTTTCCTCTGTCAATATCTTCATCTGTTTGTTTGTTTTTTTCTCTCCAGAAGAGCGGCAACACCCTACTTTTCCTATGTTTTGGTATCATAAACCTTTCTTCTTTTTACATCCTTTTTTCCCATCTCAGTGCTGCTGATCTACTCCAGCCTCTTACAGCCACTTGCAGTCTATATGCTGCACACTCTCCAGTATGTCCCTATTCAAGACCGATTTTTTTTTTTTTTTTTTTTTTTTTTTTTTACTGACCATGGTGGGCATTGCTTGCACAATGTGGCAAGGTGGCACAGTTGCATGAAATTACAAATTTCAAGTGGTTAAAGTGCCTTAAATCCTCCCTCTGGCCTTCCCTTCAGTCTTGCACAGGTGTACCGGCTCCTCCCCTTCAGTCTTGCACAGGTGTACAGGCTCCTCCCAGTCGTGTACCGGCTCCTCCCCTTCAGTCTTGCACAGGTGTACAGCTCCTCCCCTCTAGTCGTGTACCGGCTCCTCCCCTTCAGTCTTGCACAGGTGTACAGGCTCCTCCCCTCTTGCAGTCGTGTACCGGCTCCTCCCCTTCAGTCTTGCATAGTGTACAGGCTCCTCCCTTTCAGTCTTGCACAGGTGTACCGCTCCTCCCCTTCAGTCGTGTACCGGCTCCTCCCCTTCAGTCGTGTACCGGCTCCTCCCCTTCAGTCGTGTACCGGCTCCTCCCCTTCAGTCGTGTACCGGCTCCTCCCCTTCAGTCGTGTACCGGCTCCTCCCCTTCAGTCGTGTACCGGCTCCTCCCCTTCAGTCTTGCACAGTGTACCGGCTCCTCCCCTTCAGTCTTGCCCAGGTGTACCGGCTCCTCCCCTTCAGTCTTGCCCAGTTGTACCGGCTCCTCCCCTTCAGTCTCGCCAGTTGTACCGGCTCCTCCCCTTCAGTCTCGCCCAGTTGTACCGGCTCCTCCCCTTCAGTCTTGCCCAGCTTGTACCGGCTCCTCTCCTGGACTGAAATGTCTCACTCTGATTTCCCCGCACACTGTGAGCTTCTCGCCATGTGCATTAGAAGCTGCAGCAAGTCAGCTCATTTCCTGGCTTGAGGACGCCCAGCATCATCTAGCGCTTTCCACCCCAGCCTGACTGTCCCTTGCCCCACCCCTTTTCATTCATTGGATTTCAGTTCTTTCACTCGTGGAGGCTCAGCATCACATGTGGGTGGTCTGTATGCAAATGTCACCTGCCTGGGAACACCCACTCCTGCAGACTGACACCCACCCACCCATCAAGCCATTTTGATATTTGTATAACTCCTCCCAAGAGCCCACCCACTGCTTGTATCAAGACAAAAGGCTCTTGAGAGGAGAACTGATGCAGGGAGCTGTGATGTTTTTGCAGGAAGCCGTGTACAGTACCCTCCCTGCCCCTCCCACCAGCCATACTCTGCCTGCATTGCATATAGAAGCACAGAGACCCAGTGAAAACATCACTGTGTCTAAACTAAGGTATGTAATGAAAATGGAAAGGTTTATTTTAAAAAGATCTTTAGCATGTTGATGGGGGGGCAGAAAAGGCACAATATTATCAGATTAAACGTCAGCTGTAGACCTCATTCACATTGGTGTACTTAGGCATACGCCCATGCAGGGCCATGTTTCCCGTGCAGCCAATCCTGTTCATGTCAGTTTGGACTAGCCACTCGATTGCTTGTAGAGGGGAGGGGATAAACAACCCCTCCCCTCCCCCCACCACCACCAACACCAACAGCCACCTTCTGCCACTCAATCTCTCCCATCCCACCGGGAGACCCGAGCGACCAGCAATGACCTGACCTCAGATCCAGTTACTCAGATGTCATCGGCGCCATTTTCAAAAATTCAAAAGCATTTAGAAACACCGATCTTGGTGTGATTGAATTCTTTTAAGGGCAGAGGAGGGATTTTGGGGTCTAATAGACCCCAGATCCCTCCAGAAAGAGTACCTGTCACTGCCTATTGCTGCAACAGGGGATGTATACGTTTTTTGTGACAGCAATAAGTGATTTAAAAAAACGCACACGTTTTAAAGTAACAATAAAAAATTTTATTTAAAAAATATTAAAAATAATTAAATTAAAAGTTATAATTTTAAAAAATAAAGTGCCCCTTGGTGGAGGGGGGATTATGGTCGGGGGGTTGTTTTTCAGGGGTTGGGTTGGCCCCCTAGTTCCAGTGAAGGGAACTCTTAAGGTGACATTTTGGACAATGTCATGCTCCCAACTTTGTGGGAAGAGTTTGGGGATGGCCCCTTCCTGTTCCAACATGACTGCCCACCAGGGCACAAAGCAAGGTCCATAAAGACATGGATGAGTGAGTTTGGGGTGGAGGAACTTGACTGTCCTGCACAGAGTCCTGACCTCAACCCCATAGAACACCTTTGGGATGAATTAGAGCGGAGACTGCGATCCAGGCTTCCTCCCCCGACATCAGTGCCTGACCTGACAAATGTGCTTCTGGAAGAATGGTCCAACCTTCCCATAGACACCCTCCTAAACCTTGTGGACGGCCTTCCCAGAAGAGTTGAAGCTGTTATAGCTGCAAAGGGCGGGGCCAACTCAATATTGAACCCTACGGACTAAGACTGGGGGGCCAATAAAGGTCATGTGCGTGTAAAGGCTGGCCGACCAATACTTCTGGAAGAATGGTCCAACCTCCCCATAGACACCCTCCTAAACCTTGTGGATGGCCTTCCCAGAAGAGTTGAAGCTGTTATAGCTGCAAAGGGGCGGGGCCAACTCAATATTGAACCCTACGGACTAAGACTGGGGGGTTATTAAAGGTCATGTGCATGGAAAGGGCGGGGCCAACTCAATATTGAACCCTACGGACTAAGACTGGGGGGCCATTAAAGGTCATGTGCGTGGAAAGGCCGGCCGACCAATACTTCTGGAAGAATGGTCCAACCTTCCCATAGACAACTTTGTGGACGGCCTTCCCAGAAGAGGTGAAGCTGTTATAGCTGCAAAGGGCGGGGCCAACTCAATATTGAACCCTACGGACTAAGACTGGGGGGTCATTAAAGGTCATGTGTGTGGAAAGGCCGGCCGACCAACCAGCCAATACTTTTGGCAATATAGTGTGTATCGGCTTCCTTTACTGAATATGCCCGGGGCTTTTTTTCATCAAAAACGTGGAGGAACGCAGGTCTGGTACCTCCAGCATTGAATGTATGTAATGGCAAGGGTTGCTGGGATGTGCCAGTGGATCTGTTGTTGCTGGCTGCTGGGGGATCTATTGTCACTGAAGGGGGTCTATTTTTGTGTGGAGGTCTATTGTTGCTGGTGGGAGATCTATTGTTGATTGGGGTCAATTGTTGCTGGAAATGATCTGCTGTTGACTGAGTGGTCTATTGTCTATTATGTTGCTGGCTGCTGGAAAGTCTGACGCTGGCTGCTGGGAGATCTGTTGCAGCTTGCGGGGAATCTTTCGTTGCTTGGGTGGTATTTTGTTTTGGGGGTCCATTGTTGCTGGAGGAATTTGTTGTTGCTGGGGGGTGGGGGTCTAATGGTGCTGGCTGTGATGGATCTATTTTACTGCTTTTCTTGTTATTAACATTATTCCATACAAATTATTTAGTGGCACTTGGATCTATAAGGAGCCGTACTGGGAGGAGTGGTAGGGAGTTGGAACCAAGGGATGGTGCTCGGAGGTGGGTAGAGGGTGGAACCGAGGGTCAGTGCTTTGAGGTGGGTAGGGGGTGGAACTGAGGGTTGGTGCTCGGAGGTGGGTAGGGGGGGACCAGGGGATGGTGCTCGGAGGTGGGTGGGGGGATGGAATCGGGGACGATGCTCGGAGGTGGGTAGGGGGTGCAACCAAGGGTCGGCGCTTGGAGGTGGGTAGGGGTAGAACCAAGGGTTGGTGCTCGGAGGTGGGTAGGGAGTGGAATTGGGATGATGCTCGGAGGTGGGTAAGGGGTAGAAACAGGGGACGATGCTCGGAGGTGGGCAGGTGGTGGAACCAAGGGTCTGCACTCAGAAGTGGGTAGGATGGAACCAAGGGTCGGTGCTCGGAGGTGGAACCAAGGGTCGGTGGTCGGAGGTGGATAGGGGGTGGAACCAAGGGTCGGTGGTCAGTGCTAGGGGGTGGAACGGAGTGCTCGGAGGTGGGTAGGGGGTGGAATTTGGGACAATGCTCGAAAGTGGGTAGGGGGTAGAAACGGGACGATGCTCGGAGTTGGGTAGGGGGTGGAACCAAGGGTCGGCACTCGGAAATGGGTAGGATGAAACGAAGGGTCGGTGCTCGGAGGTGGATAGGGGTGGAACCAAGGGTCGGCACTCGGAAGTGGGTATGGGGTGGAATCAAGGGTCGGCACTCGGAAGTGGGTATGGGGTGGAACCAAGGGTCAGTGCTCGGAGGTGGTAGGGGGTGGAACCAAGGGTCGGTGCTCGGAGGTGGGTAGGGGGTGGAACCAAAGGTCGGTGCTTGGAGGTGGGTAGGGGTGGAACCAAAGGTCGGTGCTTGGAGGTGGGTAGGGGTGGAACCAAGGGTCGGTGCTCGGAGGTGGGTAGGGGTGGAACCAAGGGTCGGTGCTCGGAGGTGGGTAGGGGTGGAACCAAGGGTCGGTGCTCGGAGGTGAATAGGGGGTGGAACCAAGGGTCAGTGCTCGGAGGTGGGTAGGGGGTGGAATTTGGGACAATGCTCGGAGGTGGGTAGGCGGTAGAAACGGGACGATGTTCGGAGGTGGGTAGGTGGTGGAACCAAGGGTCGGCACTCGGAGTTGGGTAGGGGGTGGAACCAAGGGTCGGCACTCGGAAGTTGGTAGGATGGAACCAAGGGTCGGCACTCGGAGTTGGGTAGGGGGTGGAACCAAGGGTCGGCACTCGGAAGTTGGTAGGATGGAACCAAGGGTCGGCACTCGGAAGTTGGTAGGATGGAACCAAGGGTCGGCACTCGGAGGTGGGTAGGGGGTGGAACCAGGGGACAGTGCAAAGCAGGGGGGTGGAGACAAGAAGCAACTCCGATAGGGGAAGTTCCTGCAATTATTATTATTCATAAATATATATATTTTGGCCCTGGATCCTCCTACGCTGTAGATCACTTGGATCCTTTAACATTCTAGAATTCCGTTGAGACAAACTGAAGTTCATGCGGCTATGTTGTTGTTATTATGGGATGGTGCTCGGAGGTGGGTAGGGGGGTGGAACCAGCTGACGACGTTCATGTGGCAATGTTGCTGCTATTATGGGATGGTGTAGATTTTCTGGTAGATCTTCCTATGCCTATCTAGACATCCTATGTCAATGATTGGCTGATTTCTGCGTGTTCTCGTAGCTCTGACGAAGGGGGACTGGCATTGCTTCTGAAACGCGTTGGCAGTTTTTGTCTTTTTTTTTTTTTTTTTTCTTTTACCAAATAAAATGATTTGGTCTGGCGCGTCTTTCTGTATTCCCAGCATCATATAACTAGATATCTGATGATTGGTTCTTCTCGGTCCATGCGTGCGGCGGAGCAGAAGTCAGCGATTTGGCGCTGCGTGCCGCTTTCACGCAGCCGGTGAGCAGGTTCTGTTTTTCCATCGGAGAGTCAATTACACGCTTGAAACACGAGTCCACATAGTGCTTCGTATTTCCATGGAGTAGATAAATATGTAGCCGGGGTGACCTCACGTATCGCATTGGTTGTGTGTCAATATAGCCGCTTTCAGCCTGGACTGAGGTGTGATAACAGCCGGCTGTGGATTTATACAGATGGAAGCTCGGCCTTCCGTATGGAATGGCTATTGCTTCTATGAGATGAGGAACTACAAGTCCCAGCAGTCATTGTAAAAGATGAGACCTGCCATCAAATATAATGAAGTACAGTCATGCCGAAATTGTTGGCACCCTTGATATTTCTCCAGGAATCATGTATTTCTCACGAAACGTATTGCATTAACACATGTTTTGCTATACACATGTTTATTCCCTTTGTGTGTATTGGGACAAAACAAAAAAAGGGAGGAAAGAAAGCAAATTCGACATAATGTCACACAAAACCTCCAAAAATGGGCTGGACAAAAGTATTGGCACCCTTTCACAACTGCGGATAAATAAGAATGTTACAAGCATGTGATGCTCCTGTAAACTCACCTGGGGCAAGTAACAGGTGTGGGTATAGAAATCACACCTGAAAGCAGATAAAAAGGAGAGACGTTCACTTAACCTTTGCATTGTGTGTCTGTCTGTGCCACACTAAGCATGGACAACAGAAAGAGGAGACGGAGAACTGTCTGAGGACCTGAGAACCAAAATTGTGGCAAAATATCAACA